GTCAAGCAGAAGTTAAGGAAGTTCAAAACTGACATGAGTGTGAAGATCAAAGAGGAAGTCACAAAGCAGCTTGATACTAAGGTCATTCGAGTCACGCGGTATCCCACTTGGTTAGCTAATGTTGCGTTGGTGCCAAAGAAAGATGGTAAGACCAGAGTGTGTGTTGATTACCGTGATCTCAACAAAGCAAGTCCGACAGATAACTTTCCATTGCCCAATATCCACATTTTGATCGATAACTATGCCAAGCACGAGATCGGGTCTTTTGTGGATTGCTATGCGGGGTACCACCAGATCTTGGTGGATGAGGAAGATGCAGAAAAGACGGCATTCATCACGCTGTGGGGAACATATTGCTACCGGGTCATGCCATTTGGTTTGAAAAATGCTGGGGCAACTTACATAAGGGCAATGACCACCATATTCCATGACATGATACACAAGGAGATTGAGGTCTACGTAGACGATGTGATCATAAAGTCCAGGAAGCAGTCCGACCATGTCGGAGACTTGAGGAAGTTTTTCCAGAGGCTCCGCAGGTACAATCTTAAGCTCAACCCTGCAAAATGTGCATTTGGTGTTCCGTCTGGGAAACAGTTGGGGTTCATAGTCAGTCGGCGAGGCATTGAGTTGGATCCGTCAAAGATCAAAGCTATCCAAGAATTGCCGCCTCCAAGGAATAAGACTGAGGTGATGAGTCTGCTCGGGCGTTTAAACTACATTAGCAGGTTTATTGCTCAACTCACGACAACTTGTGAGCCCATCTTTAAGTTGTTGAAGAAGGATGCTGTGGTCAAATGGACTGATGAGTGCCAGGAGGCATTTTATAAGATCAAGAGGTACTTGTCAAACTCACCTGTGTTGGTCCCGCCGGAACCTAGGAGGCCTTTAATTCTTTATCTGACAGTCTTGGATAATTCATTCGGTTGTGTATTGGGTCAACATGACATCACTAGTAGAAAGGAGCAAGCCATCTATTATCTCAGCAAGAAGTTTACCTCCTATGAGGTTAAGTATACTCCCCTGGAAAGGACATGTTGCGCCCTGACTTGGGTGGCACAGAAATTGAAGCATTATCTATCGCCCTACACTACTTACCTCATTCTCGCCTGGATCCTTTAAAGTATATCTTTCAGAAGCCTATGCCCACAGGAAGACTTGCAAAGTGGCAGATCTTGCTCACAGAGTTTGACATTATCTATGTAACTCGGACCGCGATGAAAGCCCAAGCATTGGCCGATCATTTGGCAGAGAACCCGGCGGATGAAGAGTATGAGCCATTGAGGACTTATTTTCCTGATGAAGAAGTGATGCATATTGAAGAGGTGGAGCATGATGAAAAGCCAGGTTGGAAACTTTTCTTTGATGGAGCCGCTAACATGAAAGGTGTCGGAATAGGGGCTGTGCTCATTTCCGAAATAGGGCATCACTACCCCGTTACAGCCCAGCTTCGTTTTTATTGTACCAACAATGTATGCGGTGAAATCAGAGGGCTTGATTTCCCGCCATCAAGCCATCTCGGGAAGGTACCTCGATATCCCGAGGATATGACGCCGCCTCGGTTAGACATCTCGAGACCCGGAGGATATAACGCCGCAGCTCAGTCCTTTCCTCCGGGGTCTATCAAGACCTGATTCGAAGATGAGATCGGGACAAACAAAGGAGTTCCCCGAGGCACGCAGTTGAATCTGACAGGACCAGCCTATCCTTAGCCTCTGCTGGGATGTCAAGTCAAGCCGTGACATCTCCATATTTCGTATATTAAAAATACATGTATTCCGAGTTTCCTCTCCTATATAAAGGGGACTCGCCCTACCTTGTAAGGGACTGATGTTGCTCCCAAAATTCTACAAAGTGCAATAATATCTCTCTCTCTTTTCTTACAAAAGCTCATTGGTTCTCACTGATACTGAGAATACCTCGATATCCTTTGCCTCTATACGTGTTCTTCATTTTACATGTGTTCTTCATCGTACAAACTCAATTTCAGTTGTAAATAGCTTCGTTCGATTATATTTCTAGCTGTTAGATTACTCCCGATTATCCCCGACAACCCGAGCTCGACCCCGAGGTCGACCTCGAAGTCCCAATCGACCCAGCTTACGCCCGGGTAGCAGACCCTTTGGTCCGCTCGTTACCTCGTTTATGTCCCCACCCATCGTTAAAATTCATAATATTAGCATCATCTGCTCAAACAAACTAGCTTGGGAATATATCACGTATTTTTAGAGTCCCATTTAATAAATTTAATTGTTGTTACCATTTTCACAGTAAACAGTTTGGCGCCCACCGTGGGGCTAAAAATAATAGTGATTATTTTCTTGCTATTTTCATTACACAAACACATATCATCTTTCACGTTTTTTCTTGTCCAAAATCCTTTGATTTCAGGTAAAAATGTCTGGCTCGGTGAACAGAGCTGAGAACGATCGCCTCGAAGATCACGGGGACAATGGTGTAGCTATCCCAGCCATCGGAGCACCACTACAGGATCCCGATAACGCACCTGGACCAATACTAGCGGACGCGGACTCACAGGACGTACAGCAAGTCAGCGAAACTTCCCACACCAACCAAGAAGCTGACGTCCATATGATTATTGGGGGAGCCGACGCCCCCCGAGGGCCTGCCTCCAAACGAGAAAGGACACCCGCAACAAAAGAGGGGTCGGCCCGGGAGCGCCCGCATGAAGAAATCCTTGTATTCAGTGACGAGGACCTCGAAGCTATGATGGAACCGCACAACGACGCTTTAGTCATCTCGTTTATTTCAAACAACACCAGAATAAAGCGTGTGCTCGTGGACCCAGGCAGCTCGGTCAACATAATCAGGTCAGAAGTAGTAGGACAGGTAGGTTGCTCAATCGAGTCGTTCCCACGTCTCGGGTCCTCCACGTTTTCAACATGGTCGGAGAGGAAACAAAGAGAGAAATCATTATCCCGATCGACACGTCCGGCACAACCCAGAACACAGAGTTTCAAGTCATCAACGGAGATATGAAATACAACGCCCTACTTGGCAGACCTTGGATACACAACATAAGGGTCGTGCCCTCGACCTTGCACCAGGTAATAAGGTTTCTTACCAGGGACGGTATCACAACCATACATGGGGAACAGCAAGCAGCAAGGGAAATGTTCGCAGTCCACCACGAGACAACAATTCCCGCATACCCGGCCTTGGACGGGGAGGGAAACGCGCAGACCCTTGAAGACAACGAGGAAGACTTCTTCGCACCCCGAACTTTCATCGCTCCTGAGGAATCCGACGCGACCAAGTCAACAGTCGAGGAGCTAGAGCAAACTGTTTTGATCAAACACCTCCCGGATCGCAAGGTATACTTGGGTACGGGGCCGACCCCCGAACTCAGGACAGAACTTATTCAATTCCTCAGTAATAATATCGACTGCTTCGCTTGGTCCCATTTAGATATGACGGGTATCCCACCGGAGATAACGTCCCACAGACTGAGCGTTGACCCAAAGTTCAAGCCCGTGAAGCAAAAAAGGAGACCGCAGTCCGAGGTGAAACATGCCTTCGTCAAAGAGGAAGTGGCGGAACTCCTTAAAATTGGATCCATCAGGGAGGTAAAGTATCCCGAATGGTTGGCTAACGTAGTAGTGGTACCAAAAAGGGGGAATAAGCTAAGAATGTGCGTAGACTATAAAGATTTGAACAAGGCGTGTCCAAAAGATTCCTTCCATCTGCCCAATATCGATCGCTTGATCGATGCTATGGCCGGCCACGAGACCCTCACTTTTCTCGATGCCTACTCGGGGTATAATCAGATCCAGATGAACCCCGAATATAGGGAAAAAACCTCGTTTATCACAAAATACGGAACATATTGTTATAACGTAATGCCCTTTGGGCTAAAAAACGCAGGAGCAACATATCAACGGCTAGTTAACAAAATGTTCGAGCACCAGGTAGGAAAATCAATGGAGGTATATATTGATGATATGCTAGTAAAATCCCTGCGCGCAGAGGACCATTTGACCCATTTGCAGGAAACCTTTGACATCCTCAGAAGCTACAACATGAAGCTCAATCCTGAGAAATGCGCCTTTGGAGTAGGCTCGGGTAGATTCCTGGCTTCATGGTCTCAAACAGGGGGATCGAAATTAATCCCGATAAAATAAAGGCCATCTAAGAGATTACGGCGGTAAATAACGTAAAAGTCGTCTAAAGATTAACGGGGCGGATCGCGGCCCTTGACAGATTCATATCGAGATCGTCAGACAAAATCCACCATTTCTTCGCCCTGCTTAAAAGGAAGAACAACTTCGAGTGGACTTCAGAATGCCAGCACGCCCTGGAGGAACTGAAACGATACCTGTCCAGCCCGCCATTGCTGCGCACACCTGAGGAGGGTGAAATACTATATTTGTACCTGGCAGTATCCGAAATGGCAGTAAGGGGGGTATTGGTCCGAGAAGAGCAATGTACGCAATTTTATGTTTATTATGTAAGCCGCACCTTGGGGGACGCCGAAACCCGATACCCCCATCTAGAAAAGTTGGCGCTCGCGCTAATAAGCTCCTCGCGCAAACTGAAGCCTTATTTTCAGTGCCACTGCATCTGCGTCCTGACAACCTATCCCCTCCGGAGTATACTGCATAAGCCCGAGCTATCAAGACGATTGGCCAAATGGGCCATCAAACTCGGGGGGTATGACATCGAATATCAACCTCGGACAGCCATTAAATCCCAAATCCTGGCGGATTTCGTGGCTGACTTCTCGCCCGCCCTCGTACCCGAGGTAAAGAAAGAGCTTTTATTAAAATCAGGCACTTCCTCCGGGGTATAGACCCTGTTTACTGATGGCGCCACGAACGTAAGAGGATCCGGACTCGGTATAGTCCTGAGGCCGCCCGTCGGCGGCATAATCAGACAATCCATAAAAACCACGAAACTGACTAACAATGAAGCCGAGTATGAGGCTATGATTGCAGGTCTAGATTTGGCCAAAGTTTGGGAGCCGAGATCGTAGAGGCAAAATGCGACTCGCTCCTCGTGGTAAGCCAAGTAAACGAAAGCTACGAAGCCCGAGAGGACAGGATGCAAAGGTCGTGTTGCGTCGTTTCAAAGAATGGACTTTAGTACACATACCCCGAGAGCAAAATTGCGAGGTCGATGCCCTCGCAAACTTGGGGTCCTCCACCGAAGAAGAAGACCTGCTCCCCGGAACCGTCGTCCAACTGTTCAAATCGGCGGTCGAGGATGGCCACGCGGAAATTAACTCCACCAGCTTGACATGGGACTGGAGAAACAAATACATCGCTTATCTGAAAGACGGAAAATTTCCCGCGGATCCAAAAGAGTCAAGGGCCCTACAAACCAAAGCGGCCCGATTCTCACTCGACGAAAATGGGGCCCTTTACAGGAGAACTTTCGATGGTCCCCTGGAGATATGCTTGGGATCGGGCGACACGGAATACGTACTTCGAGAGATCCATGAGGGCACCTGCGAAAATCATTCCGGGGCCGATTCCTTGGTCCGAAAAATGATCCGGGCGGCCACTATTGGGATAGCATGGAGAAAGACGCCAAGGAATTCGTCCGAAAATGCGACAAGTATCAAAGGTTCGCCCCCATGATCCACCGGCCCGGAGAACAATTGCATTCCATTTTGTCACCATGGCTGTTCATGGAATGGGGGATGGACATTGTCGGCCCATTGCCAACGGCGCCAGGTAAGGCCAGATTCATCTTATTTATGATTGACTATTTCTCAAAGTGGGTGGAAGCGCAGGCCTTCGAGAAAATAAGAGAGAAGGAAGTCATTAATTTTATATGGGAACACATCATATGCCGATTCAGAATCCCGTCTGAAATAACGTGCGACAACGGGAGGCAATTCATCGGAAGTAAGGTAACTCAGTTCCTTGAGGACAACGGAATCAAGAGGATCCTGTCGACGCCATATGACTCGTGTGCAAACATCCAAGACGAATCTACAAATAAAACCATCATTCAAAATTTGAAGAAGAAGCTGGAAAGCGCCAAAGGGAAATGGAGGGAAACGCTGCCCATAGTGCTGTGGGCATATCGAACAACTCCGAAATCAAGCACCGGCGAGACACCTTTCTCTCTTGTATACGGCGCCGAGGAACTGATACCGGTAGAGGCCAGAGAACCAAGCTCCAGATTTCAACACACTAGCGAGGAATCAAATAACGAGGCCATGGCAACAGCCCTCGAACTGCTCGACGAAAAATGGGAAGCCTCGCTGGTTCGGATGGCTACCCAGAAACAGAAAATCGAAAGATACTACAACAGGAGAACGAATCACCGATACTTCGGAGTCGGAGACCTGGTCCTAAGGAAGGTCACCCTCAACACCAGAAACCCTAATGAAGGGAAGTTGGGCCAAAACTGGGAAGGACCTTACCGTGTCCTCGGAATAATGGGCAAGGGCTCCTATAAGCTCGGTACCATAGAGGGCGAGCAACTTTCGAGCAACTGGAATGTATCAATGCTTAAGCGGTATTACTGCTAGGGCGGCCGAATATGGAACCCCACAAAAATCTTCGAACGGACGTCGTACTCTTTTCCTTTTAAATCTTTTCCCCAAGCGGGTTTTTTGCCAACAAGGTTTTTAATGAGGCGACACCCATGCCATTCTCCAGAAGGATCCGATGAACCCACAAGGTTTCTTTCACGGTCAGCTCCGCCCCGGGGATAAGACGAACGAGGCCCCGGTCGAAATACTATATCGGGCTGTACTTACATCAGGCAATCAAAAAATATCTCTTCAATGCCTTATTCTCCGGACAGAGAAATCTCAAGTGTATCCCCAACATAGGGGGCCCCCCTCCACTAAATGCATCCCAAAATACTCGGAGACTTAATGCCTGCAATAAGGCACTCGCACAACTCCAGGACCGGAACTCCGGGCTCATAAAGCCCCGAAAACACAGCTCCGAGTTCACAAGAAGCGGTCTTCACGCTTAAACAACTTGATGACTCGGAGACTGACGACAATCGCCATACTACATCGCCGAAAAAACTATAAGACCTCAATAGGCGTGACAAACTGTAAGATCTCAATAGGCGTGACAAACTGTAAGACCTCAATAGGCATGACAAACTGTACGACCTCAACAGGCATGAAAATCCCGAAGTTTAGGTACACGTCGCATTTGTAAGAATCCCGAAAGGGCATACCCTCGATGTGGACGCCTAAACTATCACTCGGGATCAAAAATAGCTACGGCCAAACGCACATGACTACGGTCAAAATGGCTGATACAGCCAAAATAACGCGACTTGGGGATGCCCGACCGTCGCTAAACAAAAAATTGCAGGCCACTACTTCAAATATACTTCGAAAAGAACCGGTTAAAACAGGCTTCCCTCAACAAGCAAACAACGGGCTATGAACCTTCCGAGGTGCTCGAAATATCACCGATTACGACTTGAAATTGAGGTTCTTTTAGAACCGACGACGGGTCAGGCAAAAATCTTTCAAAAACACCTTAACGAGCGGAAAACAAAGCCTACAAAAAGCCCACGGGCAAAAACAGCGTAAGAGCCATTGTCGCCAGCTAAGCAGGCCTACGGGCCACATATCAAAAAGGTCTCTACGACCAAAAAGCGCAAGAGCCATTGTCCCCAGGCAAAATCGACAACTTGAGGATTAAAGTGAGCTCGAATCGTAACTCGATTCGGAGACCGGATCCAAAATAGTTAACTAAACAAGCCTACGGGCCATATGTCGAAAAGGTCTCTACGACCAGAAAGCGTAAGAGCCATTGTCACCAGCAAAATTGACAACTTGAGGATTAAAGTGAGCTCGAATTGTAACTCGATTCGGAGACCGGATCCAAAATAGTTAACTAAACAAGCCTACGGGCCATATATCGAAAAGGTCTCTACGACCAGAAAGCATAAGAGCCCTTGTCGCCAGCCAAAACTGACAGCTTAAGGGTCAATTAAAGCTCGATTCACAACGCGACTCGGAGACTGGACCCGAAATAAGTTCAACTTATCAAACGCCCAAAGGCGACAAAAAAAAGCCATCGACGCCAACCCAGACGAGCGCCAATCTCGAGGTAAATTAAACTCGAGTAGGATCCCGACTCGAAAACTGGACCCGATAAACGAGCAAAGCGTACAAGCCTTAGGGCAAGTTCGGGATCGAATCAGCTCAATTGAAATTCCAGCAAACGGAAATACAAAGAATATAAGTTGCGGGGTTCCCCCTCTTATTTCTACGTATTGACGACAAGTGCAGCCCCAGCCTGCGCAGAATATTGAAAAACATACATACATAACAAAGGAGGCAGCAAGTGATTGTTCTGCTTTTTCCGGCAGTCATAGCCCAGCATCTTCCTCCTAAACGTCCTCAGCATCAGACAGTAGGAACTTTACATCGTGCTCCTCTCTTTTGGCTTGCTCGATCTCCTTCGAGAGATCAAAGCCCCTTGCGTGAATCTCCTCAAAGATTTCCCTCCAATATCTGCACCTCGCGTACTCTCTATTGTTTTCGGCACAGTCAAGGATCTTCTGCGACTCAACTTTAGCGACATCGGCACCCTTCGAGCAAAGCCACCATTTTTTTCCCCGACCTGGTATCATTCATCGCTCCTCGGCTCGAGCATTCACCACCTCGGTTTTCGCCCCGAAAGATCGGACGATAGTTCATGATCATCTTCGCCTGGCAGAGTCATCCGCACGA